TCGAATTAACCTTGACACGCACGTAATCCTTGCTCTGTGGCTTTTCTGGATCAAAAGCTATCTCGATCACCTTTCCTATGATATCTCCAAGCGCATAAATCGAGGCTTCAGTGTAGTAGTTACCTGGGATGTTACGGATCTGGATCCACACTGTCATGAATTGCAGATAGTCCTCCGTTGGATTTTCAACCCATCGGTCGATCACTACCAACCGCTCATTGAAAGTCCAGACTCTTTTCTTCAGCACCTCTCCCAAGTTGTGTTCATACTTGAAAATAAACTGGAACCTCTCCTTCGACAGCGCCACTCCTCTTACACGGTCATAGACTTGCCACTTCCTTGGCATGTCGAGTATCAGGTCTGTCATATTTTGACATTCCGGATTAAGAGTTCTGCTCATAATACTCATCTTGTATCTTTCACTCGAGCAGAATTGAGGAAGGTCAGGCAACGTGAACGTTCCCGTCTTCCTCTTCTTCAATAGACAGAGCGATGAAAGCCATGTCAATATTAGCCATAACTTCTATCACTTCCCAAGAAAACACACCAGATTGTTTCTTTTGCTTTTAGGTTCTTAGGTTGCTAAGGCGGCGCTTAAGAACAAAATAAAAATATAGCCAAAACCGTAAAAAAACATGAAGATTTCCAAAAGATTCACCAAATATATATTATATCATCCTGATAGAATCATGGAACCGGAGGGAACAAAGGACGAGGTGCGAACCGAGGTTCAGGCCGGAACACAAGACCAAGTGGCCGACCTAAGCGAAGTCAAGGTTCAGGACGGGGCACAAGACCAAGGAGCCGACCTGAACGATGTCCTGGCCATGCCAACTGAACCGATGACCAGGTCGCGTACCAAGAAGCTTACGAGAGCAATCCAACAAGCTCTCACCGAGCTAAGGAACCAAGGCCGAGCTGACGACCTAACACCCGTTCATAACGTCATGACCGTCATCATGTACTCTGGTCCGAACTGACCTGGTCGGGGTGTTGTGTTAATACTCTTTTTCCTTACATTCGTTTTTGTCCCACTGCGTTTTCCGAATGAGGTTTTAACGAGGCTAATGCACACCCATCTCACGACCAAGGATCGATTCGCGGCCAAGTATAACGGTCAAGAAGTTCAAGAGTTAGCGAGAGGATGCGAAGGGTTACCCAGAAGTCCGATCGTTATTCAACGTATTTCTAGTTTCATTTAGTTTCATTTAATTTCTTTTAATTTTCTGTAAAGACCGATGGTCTCCCTTTAGCCTCTATATAAAGGCAACGATGTACTTAGATTTATCATCACTTATCTTTTATAAAATTTCTCTTTGAGATTTCTCTTTTGTTCTCTAAGAACTTTTCGATATTTTGGTGGTTAGCCATTGATCGATTTCCGGTTTATCAAGTAGTTTCATCCTGCTTGACGCAGCCTTCGAATCCAAAGTGAGAGAGAGAGTTTGTAGTCATATCTGGGGCTTAGGGAATTTCGGGACTTGTCTCACACCCTAACATCCGATATCGCAACCCCTTTTTGTTCATCATTGTACATCCCCTCGTTTTCAACCATTTCTTTGGAATTGGGCCTAAGGATTTTCGAGTCTATACTCACGCCTTAGCATCTCTTTCACTGAAGCGGTCTGGATTCAAGGATCTATCAACCTCTACCGAGCCAAGTGTGTGACAATTCTAGGACGGTCTTCTATCAAGTGGTATCAGAGCCACGCACTTGTGATTTCGGTACTATCTTTCTTTTCTTTTATAATATAATCTTTTCTCATCTTTCTCTTGTAAATCGTTTTTAAAAAAAAAATGATCCAAATTCTTCTCTTTCTATCTATTCTTCTTGTCTCTTAACTCCCAACTTGCTTGATTCACCGTTTTGATCAAGGCTTAATCGATTTGTCGATTTAGTTTGCTTAGAACCGGAGAGAAACTCTAGTGTGTTGTGAGTCTTTAGAGAGTGAGTGAACAAAGAGAGAACACTTGTGAGGAATTTGATTACTAACGTGTTTGTTCAATTTTGCGAGGTACTTGTATGTCATCCGATTTTTCTTTGGACGACTGTGAGTTCTACACGTTCCGAGACGGTAATCATGTTCGCTGGTTCACCCCTAAGGAGATGGAGGCTAAGCTTAATCAAATCACCGAGATGATGGAACACATGAGCCAACGTATGGAGCGGCTTGAAGGTCAGCCGAGGCCAGCAGAAGTAAACGATCATAACCGTGAGGAACCTATGCACATCTTCAAAGCAATTCAGATCATCTGTTGCAATAAACACTGCAAGAACATCATCACCATCTTCTATGACAAGGAATCCTCCATCTCCTACATGAAAACCTTTCAACCAAGTTGATAACACCGTAATTGTACCCATTTTCACCATTGATTTCAAATGTTTTTTCAAAGGTTTTATTCAATTATAGGAACTTTTATTATGATTTCTATGTATTTATGGTTTCAAGGCTCTTTTAAGGAAACTTAGGGAAAATGATGGCAAAATGAAAGAAATCCACATTTTCAGCTCAGAGGCAGACCGTCAGAAGTTCAGCCTCAAATGAAGACTTTCTCACCTTCTGATCAAGCTCAAATTTGAGGACAATTAAGAGGAGACAACCAGCTTTCCATATCACTTTACATCACGAAGATCCAACGGTGCAATCAAACGATACGTGGAGAACAAGTTGACCAAATTCACCAGTCCCGGAAGACTCTCACCCGCGGCAAACATGCATTTTGCCTGCCCCGGAAGACTTTCACCCCCGGTGGATCCATGACGAGCCACAAGGCCCCACATCAAAGCCCACTTAGCAGCTCTAAACGGGTGTGTGCTCCTGTAACGAGATTTTGAGCCACCAAACTTTGTTTTTCTGGGGTTAGGCGATGGAGATAGGGATTCTTCTACTGATCCATTGTTCTTTCTCCTTTCTATCTAATTTACTTTTTTCTTTCATCTTTGGCATTCTTTCATGTCTTTATCATCCATTGCATCATGTAGATCTGTCCCAGAGTGTCAAGTTGTTTGAAGAATTTTCGATAGACATACATGTCGACTAGGATTTCTAAGTTTCTAGACCATATTCTGTATCTTATCTCTTCTAACTTGTTCATATTGCATGAGAGTAGATTCGTGACCTATTCTCTGAGCCTAGGATCGATCAGAGCCACGAGAGTGCTGTATCAAATCATCCATACCTAGCTTCATAAGAACATAGTCACTATAGGAGTCGAGAGCTACCTGTAGAGAAGATGTGAGCAGACGAATTCAATATTTAATGGATGATCTCAATTCTGGCATGAAAGCGAGAGTTAATTATCAGATCTGAGTGATTAGTTGATTAAGATGGCGAGAGTTGGTTAATCATACACATGTCTATTCTAGTTCCATGCAGATCCCAGAAACAGATGAAGATAAATCGCTCGGAGGCTAATTGGAAATGCTTTGACATCGATTAGAGTAAACCGGAGAAGTCTAACTCGCCACCTATGAGTTTAGATCTGTAGTTTGAGTCGACATCCTTGAGATATTATTTTAACAATTCATATGCATTGCATTCTATTTCCTGTGAGTATTAGATTAGATTTAGTTTGGGATTCCTAACCAAAAAAACTTAAAAATCCCATGAGTTTATGACTTTGTTTACTTCCAAGTTTGTTGTTTCTTGCAGATTAGACATCCTCCATGTGGATCGACACCCTAAGTCCTACACCGTACATCTGTGCACTTGCAGACCAATGGCCTTGTAAAAAAAAACGCAACCCTAGGCCCGCACCGCATCAAGTTTTTGGCGCCATGTTCGAGGAGGTTTTTAATCGCTGGAGGTCTAAACCTGGGAGGTTGAAGTCGCAGATGACTATATATATGTCGAGTTTCTGCGAAAGCATCATAGGAAGTAACAAAACTCATAAACACCCTAACTTTTTCTTTTTCTGCAAATTCTTTCTTCTGCTTGCCCTAGTTTCAAAATCTTTAAGCGTGGATCATCCGAGAAGAAACCCTAATCCCGAGCGAAGATTTTGCAACCTGTGTGAAGCTCGCTGTGCATGTGAATCACCATTCAAGCGTGATTCCGATCATATTGTTCGGCCGAATCATCCAAACCATTACCTTGGAGACTTGCGAACTCCAAGCCACCGAGATGAGCCCTATTCGCCACACCTGGTGAACCGTCGACCATCTCATTCCTTACATCATCAGATTCTGCACCAGAACACTGAGGGTGATTGATTTAGGCTCCAACTGAATCGATTAGAATCTATGCTGAATCAATATCTTGACTTCCAAGTTGTTACAGAAGCTACCCTGTACAAGAGGATCGATGATCTCACCCACCATGTGAAATCGCTGGAAGATCTGCACTTCAAGAATATTTCTGCCCTAAAAGGGAAGATAGAAGCTTTTGAGGAAGAGCAGACAAGAGAGAAGTATGATATCCTTCAAGGATCCATCGATGCCAAGGCTGCCAAGCTAGAGATCAAGGAGGCCAATGAAATTGCCTCATGTTACAGAGGAAGAACAGATGGTGAACTTCAAGAGATTGAATTTTGCCTAAGCAAGCTTGAGCATAAGAGAAGGGAAACCAGTTCTGACGTAAAGCATCTCACCAAGTGCCAAGGAGACACAAACCTTGTGGTGAAGAAGATCTTTGAGAATCATAAGAAGGATTCTCTTGTTCATGGTCAGCAAAAAGAAGGAGGATCAACCAATTCTGATGCAAGCGATCCTTCAATGGACACCCAGAATAGCCGTGAAGACATCCTGGATGAGCAAGAGGAAGGAGCAGCTGATGAGCAGCCCTCGGAGACCCCCACTGCAGCCACGAGAGTTTCACCTGCGGCGTAAAGACGATTGGCTGCGGGTGCGACGCCTTCTCCCAATGCTCGCAACAAGAAGTCCCTGAAGATCCTGATGAATATGACTCTGACATCCCATGCATGATGATTACAGAAGGTGAACCAGACGTCATAGATGTGGAGGATCAATCACCTAAGAGGATTGAAATGCCATACATAGATTCAATCAGCAGTTTGGATTCAGCTAAGTTCGTAAGTGATTAAAGTTTTGTTTTTTTATTTATTTTAGATAGACCTTAGTATGCATCTAAAAAAAATTGGCTATATATATGTCGAGTTTCTGCCAAAGCATCATAAGAAGTAAACCAAACTCATAAACACCCTAACTTTTTATTTTTCTGCTTATTCTTTCTTGTGCTTGCCCTAGTTTCAGAATCTTTGAAGCAAGGATCTTCCGAGAAGAAACCCTAATCCCGAGTGAAGGTTTTGCAACCTGAGTGAAGCTCCCTGCGCATGTAAATCACCATCCAGGCGTGATTCCGATCATCTTGCTCGGCCGAATCATCGGAACCATTACCATGGAGACTCTTGAACTCCAAGCCACCAAGATGAGCCCTATTCGCCACACCTGGTGAACCGTCGACCATCTCATCCCTTACCTCATCAGATTCTGCACCAGAACACTGAGGGTGATCCATTTAGGCTCCAACTGAATTGATTAGAAGCTATGCTGAATCAATACTTTGACTTTCAAGTTGTTACGGAAGCTACCCTGTACAAGAGGATCGATGATCTCACCCACCATGTGAAATCGCTGGAAGAGCTGCCCTCTAAGGATATTTCTGCCCTAAAAGGGAAGATAGAATCTTTTGAGGAAGAGCAGCCAAGACAGTAGTATGATATCCTTGGTACTGATTCTTTTTAACAAAGCTTTAAGGAGGATACACTTGGTCTTGGCGATTTTCTACATTGGTGCTCCTATAAGACAAGTTCTTGTTTTTGTTGAAGTTGTTGTACCCATTGAACTTGTTCTGATTCCCTATGTAGTTTATCTCCTCTTGAGTAAGACCATCTTCATTGACATTGGTAAAGCAACTCTTCTCTTCACCCACATAGTTTATAGGTTGCTGAGTGGCCATTACCAGCTTTGCAAACTTAACTTTCAACTCCTCTAAATCCTTTTCCAGCTCTTGGTGTCTACTAGAACCTTCTCCTCTATAACTTCTGTCATAATCTTCCCCATAAGTGTTTTGACTCATGGCTAATTTCTCAACATGTTCCATAGCTGCATTGATTTTTTTGCCAATAAATTCCCATTTGATACTGTGTCCAACTGATTCCTGATCTTGGGAACAGCTCCTCTATACAAAGTGCTAAGGAGAGAGGCTTCTGAAAAGCCATGATGTGGGCACTGATTTGTTTAGCTTCTAAACCTGTCCCAATCTTCTCCAAAGATCTCGTTGGAATGCTGAGTGAAGCTTGAAATCTGGTTTCTTAGCTTGGCTGTTCTAGAAGTGGAGAAGAACTTTGAGAGAAAAGCCTGCTTGCATTGTTCCCAAGTTTATATTGAACCTGGAGGTATATTCTTCTCCCACTGATGAGCTTTGCCTCCCAAGCTAAAAGGAAACAGCCTTAGCTTGAAACCATCTTCAGATACTACATTTATCTTGGTCAGTTTGCAGACTCTATGACTGTGCTCTAGATGATCAAGGAGATCTTCCATGGGGAGTCCATGAAACCTAGATTTCTGAACCATGTTAAGTAGTGATGCCTTAACCTTAAAGTTGTTTTTTTGGACCGGTGGAGCTTGAATTCCTGCACGGTGCTAATGTGAATTTGCTCGGTCATTCTCTCCAACAAAGACCGGTTGTGGCTCTTGACGTCTGGGTAGGTTTGGGTGGGGCTGTGTCTGATTATCTTGAGACCGGTCGTGGTTCTGGTTAACCTGAGCCTGTCCCTGATGAACCTGACCTTGTGGAACCTGAATTACATTCCCATTAGCTCCATTACAAGCTCTTTGACCTTGAGCAGCTTTTTGAGCCTGGTGCTCATTCCCGACTTGCTGATCCATTCCCAACCTTGCTAAGTGAGCAGCTCTTTCTCTTTGTCTTCTTGCTTGACCTCTTGTGATCATACACCTGAAAACAAAGACAGAACTTGAAAAGGAATCAGTAAAACAAACTAAACTTGATCTCAAAAACTATATCAGAAACTAATGCTAACAATCCCCACACAATATGGCAACAGCGCCAATTGATAAACAAGAGATTTAAGCACTTAAAGGGTTATCAATCCCTTTTCTGTTGTAGCATAAAAGGTAGTCAATCCATATGTGTGGTAGTTAGGCACTAGTTTATGTGACAAGTTCTTAAGTCAAGTGAAACAAGAAAGGTTTGGTGACGACAAAGTAACAAATGAAAGCATAAACAAGAAACAAACAAGCAATGATTAATGAACTAAACAAAGTAATAAACAAAGATGATGATTATAAAGCAAATGATAAAAGCTAAACCTCTAGATGTGATCACTGATTAGGGTATTTTCAATGTTGATCCATGATGCTAAGAAAACAATGCAACACTTGTTACTCTTTAGTCTAGACTTCAAAAGCAGATTAACTCATTCCCATGACAATAATCCCTTTGCAAATCCCTTAATCAAGATTAATTCACTTTAAGCAAGACTAAGAAATCAACAAACATAAAGGTTCAAGTCTAATACTGACCAAACAGCTTCTACTACGAGAATACTGAATCTTACACACAAAGATATAACACGCAATCACATGATCGTAAATCCAATCAACATAGAACTCTAATCTAGACTAATCCTCTCATGAAGGTATTAATCTCTATACTAATCCTCTTTCATACCAAAATCCCATTTGAGAAGCATGAATCAATAAGCATTAAGCATCAGTTCTAATCTGTCATTTATGCATTAAACTATCACACTCACCTTGAACAAGGCATAAACCTTTAGCTTAGCTCTTTCAAGCATTTCATCAAACACCTTTTGGTTAGAGAAATGTCGACGCTCTAGATCACAGATCTAGCATTAAGAGCAGGTAACTTGATATGTTCATAATTTGCATAATTTAGGTTGTACATTTCATTCCAAATCATATCTTATTTCATGCATTTTAGGTATTTAGGTGTTGTTTTAGGATTTAGGGGTTTGCATTAGGTCCAAGTGACTCTTGCATGTTTTGGAGTGTTTACAGGTGATTTGGAAGCAGTTTGGACCTAAAAAGATGAAGCCAGGAGGAGAAATGGTGAATGGGGGCTTAAAAATGGTGAAATCAGCCTTTTGGAGATTCTCGGCGCTAGACTATACTGCGGGAAGCTTTTCTCGGCTATTTTCATGTACCGCGGGTGGATTTCTCGGCCAAAACGCGTATCGGCTGTTCAAGTTTCTTGGCCACAATTTCCGGATGCAGATACATATCCGAAATTGCATTACCGGAAGGTCTTGCCGAGTGATTCAGCCTCCGGGGTCTTCAGCAAAGATCAAGATAATGGAGTCTAGATCTCAGAACAGTTGGAAACGATGAGTTTGGAGCACTGAGCCGAAAGATACGGCCACCGAAAGACAGACCTTTCTCACATCCGTTCTGGAGCATTCTCATACGTCTGGAAAGATCGCCTGTGCTGGGAGTCTTAACGTCCGATTCAGATTACAGGGTCTTCAGAAACCTTGGATATGATCAGGTCACGGAACATCTGAGTTCATCCAGTTTGGTGCTGTGTGCTGAAAGATATCGTCTCCGGAGTAAACACTGGTCCAGGAGATTCCTTTTGATCGTTTCAATGCACTACAGATATGAGCCGTCCAGGGAACCTTCCACTTCCCAAGTACTGAAGGGTTCTTCACCAAAGTTCAAGATATTTTAGTTCTATTTCCATTGCATCTGGAATTAGGGCATTTAGATCTATATCCTGGAAGTTACGCTCCCCCGAATGTGAAGTGGTCCGAGGAGATTTGAAGTCTGCGAGATGGTTTTGTGACTTGACTAAAACGCAGCGCCTAAAGGATAATTTCTGGGAATTGTGATAACACCGTATTTTGACCACTTTTAAGGATCGTTTTGAAATACTTTTTCTATGTTTTTAATTGCTTTTAAGTACTTTTATCACGTTTTTCTAGTATTTGTAGTTCCAAGACTTTTTTCAGGTAACTTAGGGAAAAGCTTAACAAAATGGATAGAAAACAAGATTTCAGCTAAGAGTCAAACCGTCAGAAGTTCACCCCTGATTGAAGGTCTTCTCACCATCTGATATAGCTCAAATTTGGAGACCTTAAAGATGGAAGTATCAGCTTTCTAGTGCAATTTACAGATTGGCAATCCAACGGTTCAATCAAAAGACACGCGAAGAGCAAGATGTCCCGTAAACCAGCCGGCAAGCACTTCCACCCGCGGCCAACAAGCATTTTCCCGCGGTCAGGAGCATCCCGACCGCGAAAAACCACCCATTCCCCGCGGTCAGATCACTCCCGACCGCGGCCATCAACCTCCGAGCCCAAAGAGCCCATTTCTGAAGCCCACATTTGGAGAAACCCTAAGTGACGTCCAGAGAGGTCTTGAGCACTATAAATACATGTTTTAGAATACTTTTATTGTTTTTGCTTTAGCTTTTAGGGAGAGAAAGATTTGTTCTCTTGAACCCTTGTTCTTTCTTTTTCAATTTCGGTTTCTATTCTACTTCTTAATACTATGTCTTTGATTTCGTTCATTATGTCTGAGTAGTTCTATTGTTGGGATTAAGGGATTTTCGATGGGGATTTATATGTTCGATGAGGATTCCATGAGCTTTTGAGCCGAATCTTAGAACTTTTTCTTCTGAATTCGTTTTTACTGCATGGGAGTAGCGTCATGAACTACAATCTGATCCAGATGTTTGGTGACACGAAAGTGTTCATCAGGTATCAGATCTAGTTTGGGAGAGCAAAACAAACATAGGAGTAGAAACCTACCTATGGGCGATTTGTGAATTAGGACGAGTCTTAAACATAATGCATCTCTTCTCTTCCAGGGCCAGAGTGGAAACCTACTGGTCAGGGTTGAGAGAGATAGTTGTCTATGATCACGACAGTGGCGTATTCATACGTCCGTCACTCCAGTTCGAAAAGTTTAAGCTAAGATCTTACAAAATTTCCTCTCTAGCAATGTTTTGAATCGTTCGTACCCCTCAGAAAACTTCCCTGAACCCCAACGCTTTCTTTTCCATTGATTTACACCGATTTTCTTCAAGCTTTAGTTCAATATTGTCTTTCCTTTTTAGTTCATTTTCATTTAAGCATTAGAATATCCGTTTTTATCATTTTTAGTCATTTTCATTAAGTTTAGTTATAACGTCATTTAATTTCTGTATTTTCTTTTAATATTTCGTTTTTACATTTTAAACACACTACCAAACCTCCACAAAACCGTTTTTGTTCTAGACTTCCTTACTTTAACTTATTTCAAAGGCTTTTTGCAGGAAAAGATCCTCCTTCCCTGTGGATTCGATCCCTAAGTACTACAATTGATCAGCTGTCCACTTGCGGCTATTGATTTAAATTAGGGTAAAACTTGACACCCACAACACACACCACATCAAGTTTTTGGCGCCGTTGCCGGGGAAGGCACGCGTTTTCTTTTCTGAAAACCCCCGAGAAAGGTTAGTAAATCGACTCTAGAACCCCCTTTTCTGCAACTTTTCATTTTTCGGTTATTTTGTTTCCCTTTCAGAAGATATGGATCCTATAAATCGAAATATACAAAATGAGGAAGGTTTCTATAACACTCCTCAAGCCACAAGACGCAGAGAAGAATACCAAGGCTGAAATCTTAGCTACATGGATCGATACAGCCAGCCAAACCACCCTTACCACCGGCGCAGAGAGACTGTTCGACGCCGGGAAGATCCTTATGGCCCTCCTCCAACCTACTTCGAGCCACACGCCTATAATCCTCCACTTCAGAACCCTAGTCAGCAAGAGGATAACTTGAGGACCACCAGACGTTTGGGACGCCTCAAAGGGATGATAAACCAATTCCTTGATCAGCAGATTCTCACCGAAAACACCCTGCTCAAGAAAATTGATTCAATCTCTGAAGAGTTCAACAGAAAATTCGATGATATGGCCAACCATGTTCGAGTTTTGGAAGAGCAAACCCACAAGGACTCACAAACACTAGCTGGGATGATCCACTAAGTCGCAACAGAGCAGACAAGACAAGGGTATGACATCATACAAAACTTGAGTGATATTGTCGAATCAAAACAGGAGATTAAAGAAGTCAGAGAATCCGCCTCCTGGTATAGAGAGAAGACAGATGAAGAGTTGCAAAAGATCGAGCACAGGCTGAACAAACTCGAGCTCAAAGCACGGGAGATTGATGCAAGAATGGAGCAGATGCCCAACATTGAGCAAATTGAGAGATTTTCTAAGAAATCTCCCAAAAATCCTGATGAAGATGCACATCAACGCCCTGGTATGAGTTCATATGATGCTAGT